GATTCTCCTTTTCCTGAAGGAACCAGGTGGCAAGAATGATGTGCATGAAGGTAGCATCCACACTGATCACTGTGCTGGGTTCAAATCCATTTCAGATCAGAAGGACCCGAGGGGAGTGACCAGTGCACCATCCTCTTTCTCAGGCTGCATGGCTCCTGCTCATGGCCCAGTTGTGCTCCTGCCAGCCCTGCCACTCCGGACCCCAGCCCATGCAGCTTGGCTTGGTGCTCGGTCCGAGTGAGCCAGCCACAATGACTGGGTGCCTTGGGTGGGTGTAGGCATGGCTGAGTCTTCTCTGGGTCCGGGTGGAGGGCCATGTGCTCACCCAGACCCAAGGCCACTTCTATTTCTCCTGTGCAGACAGCTGTGACCCTGCAGGAGGGGCCTTGGAGAGCAGTTCACATACAGGTGGCCGCAGCAGCACTGGAGCCAGGCCTTAGCAACGTCTGCGCTGTGCCTGGACCTGCACATCAGGACATCCCTGTTCCTCTGGGGTCAGGGACTGAACTGAAAAGGGACCCAGCTCAGGGTTCTGGTCTCCACGTGCAAAGGAGCAGAGGGCAGGGCCTGAGCCCTCAATCTCACGTGGTTAAATTGGCTGGGTCCTCCCAGTCCACCCAGTGTGTGCATCTTTAGAGAAATCTTAGGCCTTTGTGGAAACTAACGCTTCTTCCTTCGGGGCCTAAAACATCCTGTGTGGGGTGTGAGTGACTTGGGACCTTGCCTGACTGCGTGATGACATGCTTGTTAACCCAAGCATGAAGAATCTTCAAGATGGAAGAGAGGAGTAAGGCAAGAGGTGCTGGAAGGGGCGGCCCAAGATGCTGGCATTTGGGGATGGCATAGCTCTGTGTGCCAGCGCCTGCCTCCCCTGCACCACACTGAGGTCAAAATGACACATGTGCAAAGACTCCGGGCAGATCCCCATCTCCCTTCTGGGTGCTGGTCAGTGATGTAACTCACCCAAAAAACAAGGCCCCATGATGAAAAATGGGATGACATCTTTTTAAAAGAAGCGCTTTTATTTTAGCTGGCCCAGCGACACAGTGCAGATGGAATTTGCAAAGCTGTGCAACTGAGTTAGAGTTTTGACTGATTTTTATAGTTCATTTATGATTAGCTCATTGATCATTAAGCACATAGTGATGAGAAACAGAAACAACCTGGGCCTTTGTTCCCCTTTGCTTGAGGTCAGAGGCATTTCACAGTGGGGGGTTAGCCAATCCATAGCCCCGGGTCTGCCAATTCCAGGAACATTTGTCTCTCATAAAGGGAACAATGGTGGACACGGCATCATTTGCCTCTTACAAGGGGAACAAAAGTTGACACAGCAAACAGGTTACTGGGGTGGGGGGAACGACACATACAGAGCAGCATGACGATGTGGTCAGTTAACCTATGACTGTTTGGTTGGTGCTTGGTTACTAGGACGATAAGCATAGAGCATAACAGTCAGCTTTTCAGGATCCCTTCTGAAAATTATCTTAGGGGAGGAAGGGTTTCTGTGGCTCACGGTTTCCGAGGTTTTAGCCCATGGTCGGGGATTCCATTGCTTTAGGAGCAAGCCTGAACTGTCATAGTGGAAGGGACTGGCAGAGCTGCTTAGTTCATGGTGACCAGGACAGAGACCGAGAGCAAGAGAGAATCAAAGAGGAAGGTCTGGGCATCTTTCCATCTGAGAGCTCATCATCGACAGACACTTGCAGATAAAGTTAATGTCCCTGGGACCACAAGTTTCCCCAAAGTCCATCCACCAACTTCTGGGGAACATCATGTAATAAAAAATTTCTGGAGAAATCAGAATTCAGAGAGATATTCACAATGGCGGCAAGTTATGAATGAAAATAGAAACTGAGGCTGAGGAAGGAAATACTGGAAAAGTAGGTGAAGCCTAAGGGTTCAAATCGTGAAGTGGTGAGAGCCTGGTGCGCCACCAGGCCACCGCGCAGAGATCCCGGCCTAGCATAGCCACCGCTCCCTCGGCTCTGTGCAAACATTCCCGACTGTCCTTTGCAGAAGCCGAGGTTTCACTGGGACATGACCCCAGGAGAATGCCACATGCAGGGTGCCCTCTGAAGCTTCTGCAGTGAAAAGGGGGCTTCTCAGCACGCTGGGGTCCTCTGGGAGGACCTGTGCTGATGTGTCCCAGTGAAACTCCTCCCTGGGAAAGCCGTGGCCGCATGGTCCAGGAGAGCTCTCTGGTGGCTTCCCCAGTGCTAGAGAGTGATAATGACAAGGTGGCAGGGCACTGGGCTCCTCAGGGAGCCACGCCTCCCCTCCGGGAGTCCAGAAACTCTGAAACACATTGCTCTCCTTTCTGTCACTCCCTGTCTGTGTGATTCACAGCCCTTTGTGATCCTTTAACCTCTCCATGCCTCAGTTTCCACACCTGGAAAATGGGACAATTGCCTCAAGGAGTTTTTTTGAAGATTATGAGAAAAATGGATCTGAAGTGCCTGGCACTGTCATCTAAAGCACAAGACACAAGGCCCAGGGGTTACAGCCAGAGAGAGCAGCCACAGAGCCCCGTGGGTCCCAGGACCCCCAGCCTTGGTTCTTGGATTCTCTGCAGTGGACATGACTGTGGCTTCTCTTCTAAGACTACTGAGGGGATACACAGTGGCCACACAGGGCAGCAGTGAGACTGTCAGTGCTCTGTGCGCCCACCCCAGAGGTTGAGGGCGGGCATGACTGACCCATTCCCTAGAGGCTGAGGGAGAGGCAGCCACACAGGCCAGGGCCAGCTGCGCTTACAGGGAAAAAGGCTTCCCAGGGCTCATGCACATCTGGTTGCCTGTGTCCCTGTCCTCCTTGGGCACTGTGGGACTGGATCTTCACAAGTGTGCAGGTCTCAGTTAAGCCAGGGTCAGGTAGGGGGAGGGTGACCCAAGGTCAGGGCCAGGCTCCCTCTGAGAAGCCATAGGAAAGGACAGGGAAAGCTGTGAAGACAGAGACAGAAGCTGGAGTGACACCTTGTGAGCCAAAGGGCACTGGGGGGTGGCCAGCAGCTGGAGGGGCCCAGGTGGCTTCTCCATCAGTGGCTCTGACCAAACCCTCTGTGGGCACTTTGACCTGCAGTGGACATCTTGACCCACACTGTGGACACCCTGACCCGCACTGTGGACACCCTGACCTGCACTGTGGACACCCTGACCTGCACTGTGGACACCCTGACCCGCACCATGGGCACCCTGACCCACACCGTGGACACCCTGACCCTCACTGTGGACACCCTGACTCGCACTGTGGACACCCTGACCCACACCGTGGACACCCTGACCCACACCGTGGACACTCTGACCTGCACCGTTGACACCCTGACCCACACCATGGACACCCTGACCCTCACTGTGGACACCCTGACCCGCACTGTGGACACCCTGACCCGCACCGTAGACACTCTGACCTGCACCGTTGACACCCTGACCTGTACTGTGGACACCCTGACCTGTACTGTGGACACTCTGACCTGCACCGTTGACACCCTGACCTGTACCGTGGACACTCTGACCTGCACCGTTGACACCCTGACCTGTACTGTGGACACCCTGACCTGTACTGTGGACACCCTGACCTGCACTGTGGACACTCTGACCTGCACTGTTGACACCCTGATCTGTACTGTGGACACCCTGACCCGCACTGTGGACGCCCTGACCTGTACCGTGGACACTCTGACCTGCACCGTTGACACCCTGACCTGTACTGTGGACACCCTGACCCGCACTGTGGACGCCCTGACCTGTACTGTGGACACCCTGACCCGCACTGTGGACGCCCTGACATGTACCGTGGACACTCTGACCTGCACTGTTGACACCCTGACCTGTACTGTGGACACCCTGACCCGCACTGTGGATGCCCTGACTGTGGGGCTTCTCAGGCTCTGCCCCTCACTGCAGCTCTCCCCGCAGCTGCACAGCAAGCAGCCCCTACATGGGCCCATTTCTGCAGTGTGATGGCTCCATTGCTTGTCGTATGACCACAGTAGCAAATATTCATGCTAGAGCATTTGGAAAACAGCAGTAAATATTCCTAGGACACACATCGCCTCTTGCTGAATCACTTGAGGATAATAACTATGGCAAACATTTTGGTCTTTATTCGTTTGATCTCTGAGTATAAATGTGTGTGGGTGAATTACTTTTTATAAAATTAATTCCATGATATGGGTGTCTATGCCTCTATCCTTTGTTTCTGAGTAGGTAAAAGCAGAGAAAGCCAACGTGCTCAGCTTGGGTCCTCCCAGTGTCTCCAGGTCGTGTTCCTGAAACCTGCGTCTGTCTCCAGGCCAGAGGTGACCGGCTCGGAGGATGCCCGACCTGGAGAGACAGATGCCCACAGATGCTGAGTGGATCCGGCACGCGACAGCGGCTTCTGTTTTGCCTCAAAGTGCCCGGCAGATAAGATGGAACTGGTGGCACACAAAATCCCAGACAGCGTCTGGCTGTGCGGCCCAGCACGCCTTTATCATCAGGATTGCTTCCAGGGAAGTCTTGCGAAGGTCCCCGCAGGGCAGGGTCATTTCAGAACACACAGGGCGAGAGCTAAGCGAGCCCCCGGCAGGCAGGCTGTGCACCTGCGCAGTGGGGAGGGGGCCTCCGTGGCCCAGGGGGGCCCTGGAACTTGGCGGTGGGCTTCATGCGCTGCGTGCTTCTGTCTTTTCTGGAGCTGGACAGAGCAGCTGGGCATGGTCCCGGGGGAGAGGCTGGTAGGGCAGAGTGTTTTCCGGGACAGGAGGGATTTGCCTGTAAAAACAGCTACAAAATTTAAAGTTCTTCTTCTTCTTAAAATATTGACTTAAAACCAAAGAGCAAGTAAAAAACACCGGGGCAACCTGCGTGTCATCCGCACGGCGCTCTTAGTCTTACATGGTGCATTCTTTAGTCACCGAATCAGCACATAAATAAAGTTCCCTCATGCTATGCTGTAACTAAACGGTCACGGCTCAAAACTGTCGGTCAGCTGAAAGCTGTTGCAGTTAGGCTTTCCCTCCCACTTCGTGCTGTATTTATTTTTTCTCGTATTTTAATTTTGCTTTCTTGCTTAATAGCGTGATTATAAATATATGAGACTCAATGGAAGGAAATATCCGCTGTGTCTCTTTCCAAGTCACTACTACCGTGTGCATTTATTTATTTTGTACTACTGAGAATTAAACTCAGGATCATCACTGTGAGCTGCATCTGTAGTTTTTCTTTTTCTTTTGGACAGCAGCTGCTAAATCACTAGGTAGTACAGGTGGGCTTGGACTGGAGGAGTTCTGCCTGCCTCAGCCTCCCAGAGTGCCAGGGTTACGGCTGTGTATCACCTCGTTCGTGATCGCTCCTGGAAATACTGTTGGGTAAGAGAACGGGGCGGGGTGCGGTGTTCAAAGCCCGGAGGTGGAACAGGCAGGTCTGGGGTGGTGGGGTGTAAGCAGGAGGTCTGGAGGTGCTGGCCTTCCCCCGCGCCCTCCTGCAGCCTGACTTTCTGAGGAGCCTGTGGGGTCGGTGCCCTGGCAACCATCCCACTGTCGCCCACCTCCACGCTGTCACCCCTCTGTGGTCTTGCTCTGCTCTTGTCCCTGCTGTGCAGGAGCAGTGACGGCGACACTGCTGGAGTGGGACCCTGGGCCCCAGCCTGCTCCACACCTGGGCTCCGCATCCCCAGCCTTACCCGCAGAATAAACTCTGCCCCTTCTCTGGCACCCTCTCCCCCCGCCTCCCAGGTCACCGGGCCTCTGCACTGCCACCCACACAGCAGCCCTTCCAGAATGGGCTGTGGTCGCCTGCTGCCTCACCTGGACTGTGCCCTTCCAGGTCGCCCCCTGATGTGCTCCGCATGCCACCCTGTCCCCTCCTGGGTCCCCCTCCTTTCTCCTCTCCAGTGCTGGACCCTGCCCATCAGTCCATGGCATTCAGCGCCTGCCAGGCGGCTCCCAGAAATGCACAGGGCTCTATTTACAGAAATCCACCACTGCCCACTGCAGCTGACCACCTTGGTTCTCTTCTGCACAGCTGTAACTCCAGAGCCAGAGCACAGCCCGTGTGCGTGCTCTGTAATTGCCCGGGGTGGAGACAGCAGGCCCCGAGGCCTCTCTGGTGCCATCCTGGACCATAAGCCTTGTGTGCCAGGGGCATTGAGGGACTGGCATCTTCTGACTTCATTGCAGGGGCTTCCAGCACGACCTGAGGATACAGGGGTGGGTGATCGCAGCAGGTCTGTACGTGTCATTCTGGTATTAAATGGACAACAGAGCACCAAGCAGATGAGCATAGGAGGAAGAGCAGTCAGAGAAGGTGGCCGGCGGCCCAGGTGGACGACTGGCCCGTCACCTCACGGCTTCCTTTAATTGTCACCAAACTCCTGCTTCTTTTTCATCTTGAGGTGGTGTGTGTTTCCAGAGATTTTGGTATCGATAGAGATTTTGCACTTTTTTCTTTTCTTTCTTGTGTTCTTGTGTAGTTTGTGTAAATAAGGTGGCCTGGTCTTTAGGTTGAAGCTCATCTTCTTGCAAGTTGGCCAGGGCTGCCCCATGTGGTTAGTCCCCGTGGCTGACGGGCCCTCTGGGGCCCCTTTCAGCAGGCAGACCCCTCCTTCCCTGACTGGGTGCCCACCCAGTGCTAGCCCAGGGCACACACACAAAGCTGCCAGGCACCCGCGGTGTCTCCCTTTCTCTTTACTCGGTCTCTGGCTCGCTGTGGTGCTTGTCAGCTGGGAGGAAACATTCTGCGATTTGCGCTGGGGTCAGCTCCCGTCCAGCAGCGCTGCGATTCCACAACCAAAGATTTCAGCAGCATATAGACGACACTCGGGCGAGCTGCTTTGGCTTTGCTTCTTTCTCTGCCTTTTCATAGGACATTTTCAAAAACTGAATTACAAATTGCATTTCGTCATTTAACAGTGTCAATTAAGGCCATGAACTGCAGCATACTTTTTAAAGGAAAAACCCCAACCCCTTCTCTTTGAGGGGCTGCTGTTTCATTGGGACGAGTCGGGGAAGCACATGGTGAGTGTGCAGTGAGATGCCGTGCTCTGTTTATACCTCCAGGTCCCCCAGTGCAGACAGACAGACGGAAGGACCACAGCGCGGAGCCCAGCTGGACAACGGCAGCTGCCTTCCGCACCTTCGCATCACTGGGATGTAAAACCTGGCACTTGCAACTTACCGAGAGGCTGATTTTGTAAAGTCCATAGTCCCCGGGCTCATGGCAGCAGGGCACAGTGAGAAAACACTGCTCGTGTCACACCAGGGAGAGAAGCGGAGACCCAGGGAGAGACACGCTTGTCCAGGCCGCGCCCCAGTGACCCTCTCTCCCCACCAACAGCAGGTGAAGCCCCCATGGTCCAGTCAGTGAGGCTCTTAGGGGACCTCCAGCTCTGAACTGGACACTCCACCCCTGGCCCCCAGGAGATTCATGGGCATCTCTTTATGCAAAATGCATTTAGTTCATTTCAGAGTTGCCAATATCTTTTTAAAATTTTTTTTATTTTAAAGAGATTAAGACAAAAGAGGACATAACAAAGCAGACCAGGACAGAACAGTGTAAGCAACATAGTATTTCACCCCAAGACAACCTGTAATTAATAGTAACTATCGTAATGTCTCTTTATTTGAAATAGTTGAGATAACTTCATATACAATAGTATCAAACATAACAAAATAGTATAAAACCATTCAACAGAATGAAAGTATTACAGGGCATTCAGGACCAAATAACAGAAAACGAACAATGGCTACTATATCTCATTTTCCATAGAAAATTTGTTTATACTATCACACGTAATAAAATCCGATAAGATACAACATGATAGAACCAATGGAAACAGAAGAACAAAAGCATGGTAGGACTTCAGAGCAAGATGATATTAAATCAGCACTGGCTATTATAATGTCTTATTTTCTTCAAAATAGCTGTTCATACTATCACAGAAAATAAAATCAAACAAACCAGGATAAAACCATTCCAGTTTATGAATGAAAATATTATAAGGCTTCAAAGCCATTTAATAGGGAATCATGATTACCACAAACTCTTATGTATTCTTACCATTTCTTACACTAGGGAGACTGTATGGTATTTATACATGTGAGTTTGATTTATTTCACTCAAGGTGAAATTAATATCTCAAGGTGGTCATTCTTTATAGCTGCGTAGTACTCCATTGTATAAAAATACCACAACCTTTTTATCCATTGCTCAGTTGATGGACACTTAGGTTGTTTCCAAGATCTGGCTGTTACAAATTGTGCTGCTATAAACATGGGTGCATGTGGTATGGTGTTTTCAGTTCTTCTGGGAATATGCCTAGAAGTGGATTAGCTGAAACAAATGGGACTTCCAATCTTAGCTTTTTGAGGAATCTCTAGACTGACCTCCACAGTGGTTGCACTGTGAGAATCTACACTCTCACCAACAGTGCAGGAGAGTTCCTTTTTCCCCCACAGCCTCTCTCCAGAATTTGTTGTTGGTAGTTTTCTTGATCCTGGTCATTCTTTCTGGAGTGAGATGGAATCTCAGTGTTGTTTTAATTTGAATTTCTCTAATGACAAATGGTGATTAACATTTTTTCATGTATTTATTTGCCATTTGTATTTCTTCATCTGAGAACTATGTATTCATCTCAGATTCCCCTCTTTTGATTGGGTCCTTGAATTTCAGGTGTCTGATTTTTTTTAAATTTATGAGTTTTAGACAGAAGTCCTTTGTCTGAGGGACAGTTCACTAAGATTTTTTTTCCCAGTTTGTGGGTTTTCTTTTCACTATGTTGGAGATTTCTTTTGACATGCAGAAACTTTTTAATACGACGTGATCCCAGTTATTGATTCTGGGAAGTATTTCCCATGCGGTTTGATTCTTGTTCATGAATTCTCTACCTACCCCTATGTCTTCAAGACTTTTACCTAATTTGTCTTCCAACAGATTTAGTGTTTCTGTTTAATGTTGATATCTTTTATCCATTTAAATCTTAGTTTAGTACATGGTGATATGCATGAGTCTAGTTTTAGTTTTCAGCATATGGAAAGCCAGTTTTTCCAGCACCATTTATTAAAAAGACTGTCGTTCTTCCAGTGAACCTGCTTGGCAAAGATAAAGTGGTTGAGTGTGTTGGTAGTTATGGTTGTATCTTCTAATCTATTCCATTGATCTCAGATCTGTTTTTATGCCAGTGCCATGTTGATTTTATTACAGTAGCTTTGTAGTATAACTTCAAGTCTGGGATTGTGATGCCTCCTGCCTTGCCTTTGCTGCTTAGAATTGCCTTTGCTATTCTAGGTCTCTTCTGGTTCCAGATGAATTTTAGGAGTGATTTCTCTAGATCTATGAGGTATGTTGATGGTATTTTCATTGGGATTGCATTGAATCTGTATAATAGTTTTGGGAGAATGGCCATTTTCACAATATTTATTCTTCCTATCCATGAACAAGGTATGTCTTTCCATTTTCTGAGATCCTCTTCAATTTGTTTTTTTTTTCAGGGTGTTATAATTTTCCCTGTATAGATATTTTACTTCTTTTGTGAGATTAATTTCTAAGTATTTCATTTTTTGGGGTGCTAGTATGAAGGATGTGGCTTCTCTTATTTCCTTCTCAGTGATTTTGCTGTTAGTGTATAGAAATGCTATTGATTTTTGAGTATTGATTTTGTGTTCAGCTACATTGCTGAATTTATTTATTATATCTAGGAGTCTTTCAATGGAGTTTAGGGGGTCTTCTATGTAGAGTATCATGTCATCTGCAAATAATGATAATTTAACTTCCTCGTTTCCTATCTTTACCCCTATTATTTCTCTCTCTTGTCTAATTGCTCTGGCTAATATTTCCAGTACTATGTTGAATAGGAGTGGTGATAAGGGACATCCGTGTCTTGTGCCTCATTTTAAGGTAAAGGCATTCAGTTTTTGGCCATTTAATATGATGCTGGCTGTTGGTTTGTCATTGATGGCCTTTATCATATTGAGGTAAAGACCATCTATTCCAATTTTCTGTAAGGTTCATATCATGAATGAATGTTGGACCTTATCAAAAGTTTTTTCTGCATCTGTATAAATGATCATGTGATTTTTACTTTTGGCTTTATTGATATGGTGGATTACTTTTGTTGATTTACTTATGTTGAACCATCCCCTGCATGTCTGGGATGAATCCCACTTGGTCATGGGTATAATCTTCTTGATGATTTGCTGCATCCTGTTTGCCAATATTTTATTGAGGATTTTTGCATCTGTGTTGATTAGGGAGATTAGCCTATAGTTCTCTTTTTTAGTTGGGTCTTTCTCAGGTTTTGGCAATAGATTAATATGTTCTTCCAGGAATGACTTTGGAAGGATTGCTTCCCTTTTGATTTCAATGAAGAGTTTGAGGAGTGTCGGCATTAAGTCTTCTTTATATTTCTTGTGGAATTCCGCAGTCAATCTGTCTGGGCCTGGGCTCTTCTTTGTAGGTAAGGACTTAACTACATTTTCAATTTCATTAATATAAATTGGGTTATTCAGCAGTTTTATATCTTCTTGACCTAGCTTTGATACTTCATATGTTTCTAAGAATCTGTCCTTTTCTTCTGTGTTATCGAACCTATGAGAGTAGAGATTTTTGAAATAGGTTTTGATGATCTTCTGGATTTCCACAGAATCTGTAGTGATTTCACCTTTTTCATTCCTTATTGCATGAATTTGAGCTTTATCTTTTTTTTAAAAATAAGATTGGCTAGGTGCTTATCAATTTTATTTAATCTTTCAAAAAACCATATCTTTGATTCATTGGTTCTTTGGATTGTTTTCTTAATGTCTATTGCATTAATTTCTGCTCTGATTTTTATAGTTTCTTCCTTTCTTTTGGCTTTGGGCTTGACTTGCTCTTTTTTTTCAAGATGTTTGAGGTGTAGCGTCAGGCTGTTTATTTGTATTTTTTCTGTTTTCCTGGTGTGGGAACTGAATGCAATAAATTTTCCTCTGAGGACTGCTTTCATTGCATCCCAGAGATTCCATTAAGATGTATTTGTATTTTCATTTGCTTGTAGGTATTGTTTAATTTCTTCTTTAATTGCCCCTGTGACCTACTGATTACTCAAGAGTGTATTATTCATTTTCCATGAGTTTGTGGTTTTTTTGCAGTTTCTTTTCTCATTAATTTCTAGTTTCATGGCAATATGATCTGATAACATACATGGAATAATTTCAATTCTTTTGCATTTATTTAAATACGTTCTATGGGCTAGTATATGATCTATTTTAGAGAATGTCCCATGTACTGCTGAGAAGAATGTATATTCTGAATTTGTTGGATGGAACACTCTGTATATGTCTATCAAGTCCATTTGTTCAAGGTGTGATTCAGTTCTGTTACTTCTTTGCTGATTTTCTGTCTGGTTGATCTGTCCCTTGGTGTCAATGGTATGTTAAGGTCTCCTGTTATAATTGTGTTATTGCTAATTTGATTTTTCATTTCTATTATAACTGGGTGCTCTAGCATTTGGTGCATATATATTCAAGATTGTTATCTCTTCCTCTTGAAGTTTTCCCCTGACCAGTATGTAATGACCTTCTTTATCTCTTAAGATCATTCTTGGTTTGAGGTTCACATTGTCTGCAAATGGAATAGCTACCCCAGCTATTTTTTTGGTTCCTGTTGCATGGAGTATAGTTTTCCATCTTTTGACTTTCAGTCTATGAGTTTCCTTTTGGGTTAGATGGGTTTCTTGTAGGCCGCATTATGGTTGGATGTTGTTTCTTGATCCATTCTGCCAGTCTGTTTCTTTTCATTGGTGAATTGAGACCATTTACATTAATGGTAGTAACTGTTATATATTGGTTTATTGTTGACATGTTATCTTTCTGCTGTTGCATCTTAATCTTTCCATTCTGTTTAATTGTCTGCCTTACTTAGTGGTTTTTTTCTATGTGTATCTAAACTGTCTTACAGTATTCTTTGTAGGGTTGGCTTGGCGACATGAAGTTCTTTACTTGTTCTTTGTCATGGAAATATCTTATTTCTCCATCCATTTTGAAGGGCAGTTTTTCAGGAAACATCAGTCTAGGTTGGAAGTAATTTTCCTTTAGGATCTTAGATACTTCATTCCATGCTCTTCTTGACTTCATTGTTTGTGTTGAGAAGTCTGCTGTGATTCTGATAAGTTTTCCTTTATAGGTGATCTGTATTTTCTAACAGATTTTAATATTCTGTTCTTATGTTGGATTTCTGGAATGGTGATTATTATATGTCTGGGTGTAGTTTTATTTTGGTTATGGCTATTTGGGGTTCTGTATGCTTCACTAATCCATATGTCAGTTTCCATTCCCATGTTTGGGAAATTTTCAGCTATGACGTCTGTAAATATCTTGATATCATTTGTGTTATCCCCTTCTTTTTCCATTTATCCCTGTCAATCTTATGCTGTTTTTCTTTGCATCATCTTGCAGCTGTTGAATTGTTATTTCCTGATTCCTTGTTATTTTTAAAAAAGATCTTTACTGTTCACTAGCTGCAATCTTGTCTTCGAGGTCTGAAATTCTATCTTCACTTTTGTTGAGGTGGTTTTGACAACTTTCAATGGAATTTTTGATTTCCTGTATATCTTTGTTAATCTGCTTCATGTATTCTGTTTTTTTCTTATATTGTTTATCCAGGGATTCTATCTTTTTGTTTTGTTCCTCTAATTTTTTAACTGTGTCTTCTTTAGATGTGTTCAGCATCTCTTTCATTACTTTTATCATTTCTTCTTTTACCTGGGAGATTATTTCTCATTTGGATTCCTTTAAAGCCTCCCAAAGTTGCTTCTTTATTTCAGTTGCTATTATTTCAGGTATATGGCATATATTTTCTTCCATGTACATGGCTTCTAGGCTTTCTTGGGATGGGGTGGAGATTTGAGATTGCATTTTGGTCTTTTGTTTTGTCATTTCCCTATATTTCTGTGTTTCAAGTGTTGTTCCAAGGCTTCCCCTGAGTGTGTTGCAAATTGTCTCCTATACCCTCGGCTCTTGGGACTGAATGGAAGTTGCTGAGCATGGTCCAGTCAGGCCCACAGGACCTCCCATGCCACCTCCAGTGTTCCAGGAAGCTGAGCAGGCACCTAACCACTGTGGATGATGGTCCAGAGCTCTCCCCAGGCCAGGACCAATGTGCTGGAATGCACTTACATGCTCTCAACTTCCCTTATTGAAGAAGGTCACTGGATATAATCTAGGGTGGACTGCAAAATCTCCTAAGCCTAATCTAGTGTGGCTGGAAGCTGGGTGGGTCCTTGACCACTAGGAGGGATGATCTTAAACTCTCCCAGGACTTGGGCTGTTAAGCAGGAACTCACTCCCACCAGGAGCCCAGTTCCCTCCTTGAGTTGCCAATATCTTAACACCACGACCATTGCTTAAAAGTCCATGACCAGATTCTCCTCTGAGACTTCAGGCAAACTCTTACTGTGAGTTCCTGTAAAAATCAAAAAGAAAATTACCTATTGCTGACCCACAATGGTCAGGGTAAGTGTTCCTCCATCAGAAGGCAGGAAAAGAGGGATGGGAAGGAATGGAGCAAAGCAGGACAGAAGCCAGGTGGGCAAGCTGCACTTTCCAGCACCCACAGCAGGTGGTGGCGGGGGGTGAATTCCAAATGGCTTGGGAAGCTCCTCCCTATGGCATTGCCAGCTACATCCCCATGTCCCCCCTCTCAGGCAGGTTCCACTCACTGACCCCTTGCTTTCCTCCACAGGCTTTCTGTGTTTCTCATTTCTCCAACTTCCTCAATTCTCACAGTTTGCATTCTCACAGCTTCACTCACTGCCTGGCCCCTTGACTCCTCAACTCTTGCTTTCTACATGCTTGTGAAACCCGCACTGTGTGAATGATACCAAGACCTGACTCAAGCAGTAGCCAGGCTGCCTTGGATCACAGCTGCAGAGGCCTTTGAGTGCCTGGATACCTGAGCACTGTGAAAGAAATCCTGGAGAACTAATCCCTAGGTGGACCTTCTTCAGCACAGAGCCCCAGGGCTCCCTTCTCAGATGGAACTTCACTGACTTGGCCCCTTGAGCCTGTGGTGGGTGAGATCTCATAGATTCCTCACACACCCTCAGGGCATATTTTCTTCTAATGCTAATCTGTTTAAGTAAACAAGGTCTGCTCAGCCAAAACTTGGCAGGCTCTTCCTTTCTGAGGAAACTGAGAACTTTTCAAATGGACTTTTTACTCCTGTTTCATAGTAGAAACCACAGGCTAAGCTCTGGGCTGCCTTGAAATTCCCTGTGCTGATTTATTGGTGTGCTGTCTCACAAAAATTCTCAGGACCCAGTAAAAAGAGGACACATTTTCTGTCAGTATAACACACATGGCCAGGAGTCCAGCTGCCAGGGGAGTCCTTCTCCCTGGCTAAGCCTTCCCAAACCTGGTCTTTATTATCTTCCTTTTATACTCCTTCTGGTCTTCTGAGCACTTACCAGCATCTCCCATCAAGTGTGGCTTCTTCAGCTGGCATCTCAGAGCCTTTTCAGACTCCTCCAGTGAACCTGTTCAGGAGGCTTGCGAACCATATGTCTAGGTACAGTCACAGCCACACCCCTGTGTCTGTGGCACCAAAATCTGTCTTAGTTCTTTTCTGTTGCTGAGACACAATATCTCACACCCAAAACCTAAAGGAAGAGAGGTTTATTTGGACTCATGATTTCTGGTCCATCCTCTGGCTCCGTGGAGAGGAAAACCTGCTTATGCCATTACAACCAGGAAACAAGGAGAGAAGGAAGGGGCTAGGAAGGGAGAGGGGTCACTGCAGGTCACCGCACAGGCCTCCTTCCCGCCAGCCCCCGCCTCCCAGCAGCAAGTCGGCTGTAAGCTGCCTGACCATTCACCTTCCCCGAGCCCACCTTTGTACATGTGAGGCTCATCCAGTCATAAACCGCCACAGCAGGCTGCTGAACATCCCCCAATGAAGCCTTTACTCAGTGATCAGGCTTCCTCATATCCTGTGGTCTCTCAGGAAAACAATTGGTGTGAAAATGAGAAAAGGCTGGATGTGACTTGTAGAGGCTGCGTGGGACCATCTTCCAGCACAGAGGGTCACCGGGGACACTGAGAACCCACACAGGTGCACACAGCAGGCAGACACAAGACACACAACAGGGGCACCCACAGGGCATTCACAGGATACCCACAGACATCCACAGGACATCCACAGATATCCACAGGATACCCACAGGAGCACCCACAGGACACCTACAGGAGCACCCATGCAGGCAGCATGAGTGAGCTCAGGAGCGAGGACTGTGCTGCTCTCAGGATACAGAGAGGGAGGTGAGCAGGGTGTGAAGAAGCCAGAAAAGTCCTTGTCCTCGTCCTCTTCCCTTTGCCCACCCCCAGAGGGACACACGACCCTTTCAGTGTTTACCAGGACACCACCCTCCTCACCCTGGTGACAACAGACACTGGCATGGGTTTGGAAGTGACGAGCTCCAGCTCCAGCTCCCCCTGAAGTGCAAGGTCTAAGTGACTGAATCCTAGCGGAGAGGGAGGCTCCTCTAGGTCCTGCAAATGTGACAGCTTTCATGCACATAACCCTGCAGAGAAGAAGCACTGCACAGATGTGGATGTGATGCATGTGGCCAGGCAAGTCAGCCTGTGCTGTTGGTGGAAAATCCCGTCTCCCTGTGTTGAGCTCGTAGCCTGCATCTCTGGGCTGCTCGGGGCTTCCTGTTTCTTCACCCGACAATGTCACTGAGCTGTGAGGAGTGTCCTTTCCTATGTGTGTGTAATATTCCAGCAAAATGTTAGAGAAGGTTTGGTGTCATGCCCTTGGGGGTCCTCTGGGAAGGCTTTCCTTTCTGGGAAGTGCAGATGACCCAGAGGCCTCTCCATGCTCCTGCCAGGGTCCAAGGTCCAGGGTCCAGGGAAGGTGACATTGCTCCTGGGCCACTTTTCAGGCATCCATGCATCTGATACTTAATAAGTTTTGATACCATGTCTAAAACTTCTGTCATAGTCAGGGATTACAAAGAGAACAATTACTTACAGGACACAGAATTTACAGTATTATTTATAATGAACACCCAAAGAGTCAAACACAAAGAAAGTTCAGGAAATCTGTCCACACACTAAAGACCTAGAGAATCCAGCTGAGGGCCTGGATCCCACAGCAGTGTCCTGCATGAGTCCAGCTGCAGGCCTAGAGCCCATGACAATGACTCATGCAAATCTGTTTTATGGATCTGCACTGGGAAGGCCCAAGGTCAGCGGTGGGAGCTAGCAAGTCTGTGCCAGCGGGGTGAGGGAGCTGTGCCAGCGGGGTGAGGGAGCTGTGCCAGCAGCTGAGGGATCTGCACGGGAGCCAGGAAGCAACGCTCACAAAAGGACCAGGGCTTCCTTGAAGATTACCGCAGCCACGCTCGGTGACAGTGAGGTCCCGAGCTCCTCCGACAATGAGAACAGCCGAGTTCCCGTCAGGGAAGAAGCTCGCAAGCTCCTCCAGGAGGACCAGCAGCACCAGACAGCATCACCAAAGCAGAACTAATGACACTGCTCTCCCTTTGTCTCCCTTTCTGTCTTTGCCACAGTGGTCCGGTGGGCCATCCACGCCCAGCGCCACGCTGATTCAGCTCTCCGGTGTTACAAGCTGACCCTGGTGGTTATCAATCCATCACGACCTCCCACAGCATCCTGGTGCGCTGAGCTGTCTGCAACGCGCTCTGTGGTTACCAGCAAGGGCGCTGTGCCCCACCCGCTGTGGCGTCCACTTGTTCCTGGCCACCTGGGTGTCCTCCTCGCTCTGCCATCTTCCTGTGGCCCCTGGGGAGTTTGATGTCATCATGGGGCCTGTGGCTCAAAGAAATCAGGATGCTCCACGTCAGGCTGGCTTTCTTTCTTTCCTTTCGTTTCTTTTCTTTTTTCTCTTTCTTTCAGTACCGGGATTGAACCCAGCGACTTTGCACACAGATAATCCCTAGAACTTTAAAAACTTTTTTTTTTTATGTTGAGACAGGGTCTCACTAAGTCATTGAGTTTCTCAGGCTGATCTCATACTCACGATCCTCCTGCCTCAGCCTCCCAGAGCACGGGGTTACAGGTGTGCGCCTCTGTGTTGGGCCTCTGTACCAGCACTGGGAGGACCTACATGCCTAAGAACGCAGACCACTACCTGTCCCTGGCCTGGGCTAGGTCTGAGTCTCAGGGACCCCCTCTGGGCCCCAGCCTGCCTAGCGGGTACTCCTCGCCTGCTCCAGGCGCCCACATAGCTGACTTTCCTTATGGTGGCTCGTGGCTGCACAACACCCGGCCAGGCCAGGCTGCGTCCCTGTCTCCCATGATCCACTGTGGAGAGGACGGGGTGGGACAGCTGCGCACCCCCTTCCAGCACCTGTGGATCTGGGTGCGGGAAGGCACGTGTTGACGGTGGGGTCAGGGCTGGAACTCTGATTCACAGCACTGGGCCTGCAGAGCCCGCGGTGCCTATCTTAACCCAATTGCCCGCTTGGCGACTGAGCAACCCTGGCCGCCCCTTGCTGCTCGTTTCTGCTGCTGTCTAAAAATAAAAAACCAAGTGAAGAGGCTCTGAGGGTTTGCTCGCTTGAGAAGCTCGGTCAGTGCTGCTCAGCCAGGCCTGCCGCCTTGGAGGCCGCTCCGGAGTCTTCCAGGTGGGGCCTCGGTGAGGGGCCAGCGCCCCGCCCGGCCCTGGTGGCCTCCCCTCCAGCTGTGCATTGATGGCGTCCCTACCCCGCCCTGCCCTTGCGCACACACGTGTGCAACCTTTTCAGAGGCGCGTTGACAGGCTCCAAAATAAAGCCGGCCGTCAGGAGCCCGTGCAGGTCATGGATGGATGAAAAGCGACCAGGCTGCCATGTGGGCTGGGATTAGGGAGGATCAGCTGTCCCGCCAGGCTGCGTGGGGACAGGCGGGCCACCTCCAGGGGCTGGGGCCCTGGCTGCCGGGCACTGACTCTGTGTTCTCAAACACTCGGCTTCCCTGGAGTGCATGGCTGCAGGGTGGCCCTGGAGGTCCACTGGGATGGAGTCCGGTCGCTGCCCATGATCAGGGGCAGAGCCGGGGCTAAAGAGAGGGAGAGGCAGGAGCGGACCTCGCCCACGCAAGGACCCCAGGACGCAGCGCTGGGGTGCAGTGCTCAGGGATCCTGGGCCACGTGAGCCTGCTTCCCATTCTCCTCCTTCGTCCGCTCTTTCCTCACACTTTTGTGCAAAGCCGTTGTTCTTTCACTGGAAGAGGAGGACTTTGACTGCTGCATAACAAGTCTGTTGGGACAGCCAGGTACAGTGGTGCATGTCTGCAATCCCAGCACCAGGGAAGCTGAAGCAGGAGGATTGCTGTGAGCCTGAGGCCAGCATGGGCTGCATAGTGGACCCAAAACCAAAATAAACAAACAAACAAACAAACTCAAGGAAAGCAAGCATGTCAAAGTCTTTCTGGAAAAATAAGCAAAAGAAAAGGTTCCTAGCACTGGTAGCCACACACACAGGAGAAATATGGCCATGTGGTGTCACTTAAGTGTCAATAAAACTTCTCCCGTAATCTCATTTTATTCATTTATTTTTGGATTTTTGAGACAGGCTCTTGCTTGCAGTTTAGGCTGACCGTGAGCTCACTATGCAGCCCAGGCTGCCCTGGAATTCACAGTGATCTTCTTGCCAGCCTCCAAGTGCTGGGATTACAGGTATGTGCCACTATACCTGGTGGTAATCTCATTTTAAAACCATGTGTTCTTTTTGTGCCCTGTGTCCTCAAAACCTATGTGGGGCTTGGCATCTCTCCTGCCTGTGCCTGTCCTGTCCTGCCCTGCCACGGAGGCCCCACCCTGGCCCTCCTGGCCCTCTCTGGGATGGTGGTGGGTTCAGAGGTGACACATGACACAGGGCCTTTAGGGCCTCTCTTTTGCAAACACACTTTTCTGCTTCAGGTGTCTGGGTTCTCAGATCAGTATGGTGAGACTGAGGGCCATCAGATTTCCAGGACTGCCCGGTGGTCTTGAGAACTGATGAAACCACAGTAGCGTGGGAGCAGGAATAAAACTGATCCCTCAGAGAGGAGAAGGCTGGGAACTCCGAGTGGTCATGATGGAAGTGTCTGTCCCTCTCCCCTGTGGAAGTGGAAGGGCAGAGAGTGCACAGTGGAAAACTGAGTGCCCGGAGGACAAGCCTGAGGACTTCGGGAGACCTGCTTTCCCCTGAGGATCCTGTGAGCCGCCAAACAGCCCTTAAATGTCCAGTCCTTTGCTGGAACACTTGTTCTTCTGAACTTTTATTTCCCACAATACCATCACCTGTCAGCGTTTTTTGAGCATTTGAGAGACAGCATACCACAGGTGTGCTCCTCACGCCCACCTCCCTCCACCTTAAGGAGAGGGGCTGTCCGGAGCTCCAGCTTAGAGCTGAGGTGTAGGAGCCAGGGTAACAAGCCTTGGTTACCATGATGATGACAAGCAGCCTCTGGATGCTGCAACCCCTCAGTGGAGAGGGCACTTCCGTCCTGAGAGCCCTTCCCGGACCAGCTTGAGTGCATGACACTTCCGTCCCCAGCATGAAGCCTCTCTTGCTAGTGCTGGGATGCAGGGAGAGACCTCAGGTCCAGCACCATGTTTCCCTTGTCCTGGACAGGAGTCATTCCTGTCCCTGCATGGCTTCATCAGGCCGGACACTGCTGGCCATGTTGAGCACCCCTCCTGATCCCTCCTGTGGCCTTTGCAGTGCTTGGCAGGATCCCTTCCAGCTGGGCTGGTGCAGGGCAGCAAGTCTCAAGGAGTGGCGTGTGACGGCCAGGCAGCGTCTGCGCTGCATGTTTCCAGTGAGGAACGGGACCAGGGGACAGCTCACCGAAGTCATGGAGGCAGAGGGGCAGGCGAGCAGCAATGGCCCATCCGTGGGGGGCTCACCCCCTTCTCCCGCCTAGCTGCACCCCGGGGCTGGGCCAGTATCAGGAGTGGGCAGGGACAGGGAACTCCATGGTGGTACGGTTTCTCCCGTCCTCCTTCCCGGGACCCAGGCTTCTTACACAACTTGCACCAAATCGGGGGCATCCAAGCACTGGGCACAGGAAACAGCACCAGCACAGAAGATGCTACAGGCCCTACAGGCCCAGAGCAAATTTAGCCCCTTGTTCCCCGAGCTGGTATTGAGTACATGAAACCTCAGATGTAATTACAGCACAGGGGCATCGGTATCGTGCCGCACAATTAAAGCCAGCTTCTGCTATTCCTGGGAGTCATATTTTTAGTTTAAGCTGGGGTGCAGCAACATCTCTAAAAATAACAGTGTGAGAGGTGAGGCTCAGTGTAGGGGGCCAAGTTCACCCCAGGGCCGACGCAGTAAAACCTCATTCACGGTCCATTTAAGGCCGTTCAGCCCTGGGCCAACTTTCTGGCTTGAACAGAAGTTTGGTTCATCCTGTTTGGACCCAACTCAGTTTCCAGCTGCATGGTGGTCCGGGGTCCGGGAACTCAGAAAGGGGCCAGGAGAGATCTTATAGCTGCCTGAGGACCTCCATTCTGCCTTCTCCCAGAGGGCTCGGGTTACAGGGTTACAGTTAGGTGCGACCACCCCATAGCCACCCGGGGTGGGGGGCCTGCCCACCAGGAGGTGGCTCTTCTGGGAGCTCCACTTCCATTTGGCTTCCACAGTAATAAACGGTCAGCAGTGCTGCCGTGGGAGGGCTGAGCACGCCTGTAACCTCATACTCAGCCCCTAGCTTCCAACAGTGTGTAGAAGCTGTAAGCCAAGCCCCAGAGCAGATGTGAGCATCATCAGGGTTTTCTGAGCCCGAGCTCTGAAGAGGGTGTAGTCTTCCTGGACAAGAATCACACTAAGTCTCCCACCCACCGTTCGCAAGCACACACGGCACACACGTGTGGGTGCGCAGAGCCAGGCTCCCGCCCTGGACCCAGGAGCCCTGACAGCCACGGCGGATGGGGGTCATCAGGTTTCTTATCTCATCCACCCTGTGCTGAAGCACCAGCTGTCCTTGGAGCCATGCTAAGGAGGCTGAGGTAATCGGGTGGTTTTGCTGCTGAGCCACTGGACACCAGCCACTTTCGTGGTTGTAGATGTTGCTGGCTTGTCTGCCTATCTGTTTATTTATACTCCACCTCCACCAAGAGCAGATTTGGGGCGAGGTCATCCACTTCTCCATCCACTGCTCACAACTGTCTTGCTTAGACTATAAAGTCCAGCACAGGCCTGCCCACCCTCAGCCTGGTCTTGACTGCTGACACCTGCACCAGACCCTTCAGCTAATCCCACTTCTACAAGTCTCAGTCCAAGGCAAGGCCAAGAATAGGAGAGAACATCGGAGCACACAGAGTGCCCTGCTCAGAGCAGACCAGAGCACGTTAAGAGTTTTGCATAGTTTGAGTAAATATAAGAAGTCATCATTCGTTTCTGTGCTAAGATAGTCAGCTAGTGTCTCCTGGGCTGAGGGCACCAACCACGGCTTTGAAATGGACAGTGGTCATTAGGATCTAGCTCGGACTGGGGCCAGACTGCCTTTGCCTGCCCTGCTTTGACCACAGAGCAGCCAGGTGATTGAAGAAAGTCAAGTCCAGATCTGCCACCTTTCGTAGTTGATCTCCAGGCTGGAGATCTGACTCGCTAGACACCCCTGGGTGCCAGAGCCAAGTTGATCATTAGGGAACTATCACCTTCCTTTCCACTGCAGATAAGGTTCGCCCTGCAGAGACGTCCAGGAGCTGTTCTGGTCCCCGCTGATGGGCCTGCTGTGGGCCTGCCCGCCACGCTGCACCCCTAGACCATGCTGCCTGCTGAC